GAGAGAGAGAGAGAGAGAGAGAGAGAGAGAGAGAGAGAGAGAGAGAGCTATGTTGTCCACTTAGAGGTTTCCTTGTTTCTGCCCAGAGATATAACTTGCTCTTTGTGGCCAGAACCCCAGTGTCTCTGGTATTCAGCCTGGTGGTTTCCTCTCATTTGTCGCCTTTTCTACACATTCCACCCCAGTTTTCTCTCATGCACCCCATGCCTAGGAATCAGCTTTTCCAGTCAGCTTTCCTTAACCCTTCGCCCAAGAGCTTCCTCTCTATGTTGTGTAATGTTGCAGGCAGAAAGCTCCATCTTTGCTCTGAGTTCAATTCCAGATATACGAAGAGGACTTCCTGATCCTATTGGCCTCTTTAAAAGGAACCTTGGTCCTACACTGAGGTAGATTTTCTCTCTCTCTCTCTCTCTCTCTCTCTCTCTCTCTCTCTCTCTCGTCCTTTTCCATGCCTGATGTCTTGCCCCTTAGTCAGACATCACAACTTTGAGACATGGGGCTTAGGTCATAGAGAGCGGACGGCAGCCCATCAGCCCATCAGCCCATCAGCCGAGTGCCACTTCTGGGCACAGGATGTTGTCTTAAATCTGCTTGAAGAAGAACATGGGTGCAGAGAGAGGCGTACTTTCTATTCTAAAGAAACCTTTCTGTTTTTGAGATAGGATCTCACTATATAGCCCTGGTGGGGCTGGAATTAGCCGTGTGTGAATTAGGCTGGCCTTGAACTCATAGTGATCCACTTGCCTTTGCCTCCTGAGTGCAGGGATTAAAGGTGTATGCCACCATGCCCAACTATTAAAAAAAACTTTAAATGCGCTCTTGATACAAAAGGACAGATCAAAAAATATGGACCCTGGAGACAGACTGCCAGGGTTCAATCCCAGCTCTGCCCCTCACCGGCTAAGACCCCGCCCTTGTTGTGTGTGAGTTCACCACCTGTAAGTAGGCTAATAATGATTTCTGCCTTGTAGTGAGTTGTGGAGGTGGAGTTCAAGCATATTAAATCAGACTGGGGATGCAGTTTGGAGCAGAGTAGTTATGCCGTCTAATAAAAGATACTTAGCTACAAATGAGGGCTATTGTTTTTGTTAGCAAGATTGTTCTATAAAAAGCACGCTATTTAATTAGCTGCAATACACAGTAACACAGTGAAAAAATAAGGTAATGGAAATAAGATCCTCAGAACGGAGCTCAGAATGCCTCAGAATATGACTTATCAGCCTGGAGAAATATTTATATAAGTAAATGCCCAGGCATAATTAGAGACTGCTTTCTGTAGGCAATAGAGGCAGGCCAGACTTTTAAAGTCTAGTGTGCATAAGCAAGGCACGGTGGCACACACCTGTGAACCTACAATTCAGGAGGCTGGAATCAGAAGCACTCAGAGTTCAAGACCAGCTACGTAATGAGACACTGACTCAATCAATCAATCAATAAATCAGTCAAAAAAGCTTACGTGCACCCTGGTGTTGAGAACTCCTCCTCCTTAATCGTATATCTATGTCCTTTTCCATTTCTTTGAATATTTTGTTTATTTGTTTTTTTGAGACAGGGTTTCTCAATAGCTATGAAGGAGCCTGTCCTGGAACCCGTTCTGTAGACCAGGCTGGCCTTGAACTCAGAGATCTGCCTTCCTCTGCCTCCCAAGTGCTGGAATTAAAGGTGTGTACCACCACCAGCGGCTGGCTCTTTGAACATTTAAAAAATTGAGTTACTTTGCAATAATTTTACAGCTACAGAGTGACAAGAGTTGTAGAAAGGACTCTGTATTCTTTTACTGGACTCGGTAGTTACTATGTATCATTTTTGCTGTGTAGGGGGACTGTGTCTGAACAACCTGGAGACAAGAAGCCTCCAGCCCTTGGGCAGGCACTCTGCTGACCTCAAAGAAGCCACATTGTAACACTCCAGAGTTCCACCCAGGGCCAACCCCATCTCCAACCCCACCCTGAAAGCTTTCGCTATTGTCTCAGCAGCATCCTTTTGCTTTCTGGCCTACTGTCATTCCAGGAAGACCTCTCACATCTGATTGTCTGGTCCCTGCAATGTCCTCCATCCTGGCATCCTGGCACAGCAACGCTTCAGTCTCTCCCTGTAATTCACACCCTGGCCAGTTTTAGAGATCAATGCTTTTATTCTGTTGGGTTAGCATGCTCTACTTTAATTGCAGACTACTCCTGACACCGTGTGTGTGTGTGTGTGTGTGTGTGTGTGTGAGAGAGAGAGAGAGAGAGAGAGAGAGAGAGAGAGAGAGAGAGAGAGAGAGAGAAAGTGTGTTTGTATGTGTAAGACTGTTGAGTGTGTGCCCATATTCCAGTTCTTCAGATGGAAATGGACAATCCAATTTGACAGCTACCTGGAGTCAGCATCCGGTCCCACAGGTTGAGTGTTCAAGTCTCCCAAATTGCTTTCACTGAAGGTGCCAATCCCAGTCCTTGGCTCTCCCAGGCTTTCAGTGGACCAACTCTAAGTCTGGGTTTCTATGACCTCTTGCTTGGGCCTGATAACTTGTGAGAATGTCTCACAGATCTCAGGGATAGTGTGCTGGGTAGTTTTGTGTCAACTTAACACATGCTAATGTCATCTGAGGGCAGGGGACCTCAAATAAGAGAATGTCTCTATAAGGTTGAGCTGTAGGCAAGCCTGTGGGAGTATTTTCTTAATTAGCGATTAATGTGGGGAGGGCCCAGACCATTGTGGGTTGTGCTGTCTTTGGGATGGTGGTCCTGGGTTCTATAAGAAAGCAGTCTGAGCAAGCCAGAGGGCTCAGTTGGCTTCACTCCCCTAAGACTTCCTTAGAAGTGTAAGCCAAATTAACCCTGTTCTTCTCAATTTGCTTTTGGTCATGGTGTTTCATCACAGCAATAGAAACCCTAAGACAATAGTTTACTTAATGTGTGTATATACAAATACACACATGTCCCTGTTGAGGAGTGACTCTCCAGCATGCTCAACACACACTTCACCGCTGAGCTATATCTGAAGCCTTCTTAGTTTCTTGTTTTGTTTTCTGAGATAGGGTCTCTTTGTGTAGTCCAGGATATCCTAGAACTCACTCTATAGACCAGGCTGGCCTTGAACTCACAGAGATCCACCTGCCTCTGTCATCTTAATATTGTTTTGATTTTTGCTTATACTGGATTTGGCCAGAGGAAGCCTTGTGAAGATGGGAGTGGTCTGCTTTTAAAAGTCTGTATCAGTTCTTCGTTTCTGGCCCAGAAGACATTAAGACTTACCTTACTCTTTCCTGTCCCAGAAGTCCCTTTACTTTAAGCACTGTAGGCCACCAGGATGGTGCTGAGAAACCAAGGCTGAGGTAGCATCGCTCCCTAGCCTATTCACAATACACAGATGTATATTACTCTGCATATAATATGTGCATTTATACATGTGTCTCTATATAGGTGTGTCTGAAATTAATATTGGTCTCCAACTGCAGTCAACATTTCAGTAGTCTGTCCTTTCCAGCAGCTCCCCTAGTGGGTCACTTCTCTAATCTGGATTCCATTAGCTTCTGATTGTGGATCCCATTGTCATCGATATATTTATATTTTTGCTCAATTTTCTATTCTTTTCCTATGTAAATAATGTAGTCACAGTGGCTACCTCCTCTGAATAACTCCCTTGCTGCCTTCTTGACCTCCACATGTGCCAGCACCCCCTGTGGTCCTCCCCTCGCCATCCCTAGAGCTCCTCCTCTCATGACTCTAGAGCACATGCCACCCCCAGATCCCCCGCTCTAATTTCTCAACCCCCAGGCACTCAGAACCCTCCTGCATCCTTACTGTTCCCATCTTTTGCTCATATACCTGTGTTCCTGCTCCCTCTGTCCACTTAACATACAGTGTACATGGATGCCCAGGGGGAGAAAAGCCTTCCAGTTCCTAGGTTATCCCAATATTAGAGTGCTAATGCTTTACCAGCATTTAATTCTCTGTGTCTTAATGTCTATTTTGCCTGATAAGGTACCTTCTAGACCTACAATTAGCACGTGCAGGGTTAAATGCTGCTATCAGAAGGCCCAATGAGACAAGGGAATGTGTGTTAAATGGCTTCAATTAAGTGTGTGGATCAAGTAGCATGTTCTAGAAGACTGGATGTTAAACATCTCTATAATAGTTTGTTAATTAACTGAAAAACATTCTTATTCCCAATAGGAGCTGTATACTCTAGCTGGGTTCAAGTGAAGTGTAAATTGCATATTCTATAACTACTTAATAAGCCTTCTTTACCTTTGACACATGCTAATGGGAGCTAACTGCCATCTTGGCAAGGAATGTGATTTCACCTCAACACCCTACCTTTAAAACACTGACCTCCCAGGAAGGGGGACCTGTGGTGTGCTGTGAGTTACCTGCTAACCTGTTGATTTCTTTCTATGTAGAAGAAACCAGTCAATGAAACGAAACGGCAGCAGGCAGACCCGGGGGAGCCAAACTCTGACTGTAAAAACTGGAAGGTGTTAATTAAGGTAAACTCATCCATGTTCCTAAAACCGAATAGCAGTGTCTTCTACTCTTAGGAGCGCGTGACTTAGTGTGTCTTTCCAGTCCTTTCCTTCTAGGAATAGAGTCATCCTGGCTTTACTATCGTTTCCTTTCAGAGGACATACATCTATCTTCATTTTATCCAAAGGAATCTCCCGCTGTCCTTCCCGTTGGGCACATAAGGACAGCTTCATGGGTACTAGACACCATCCATCATCACTCATGAGCCCAGATGTGATTTATGGAAGATAATTATTGATATTGGAACTTCCTCTATGAAAAGCTTTCTGGCTCTCCTTATAGATGAGGAAAAAGAAAAACTGGAAACAGAATTTTTATTTCCGATTTTCTGTCCAGTTCTAGTAAGTAACCAAGAGGGAAGAAAGGTGGCCTTCATGATGAAATTGCTCCCCCTGGTGTCTGTTTTTAGGCATTGAAGGAGACGTTTGCCTGGGTAGCAAAGGCCTCTTTCCAACAGCCGATTCTTTTGATTGGTGGACTGAGGCCCTGACACACAGGTCGACACAGTTAATATATGCAAATGAATGGATGGGATTTACACAAGTCACAGAGCTAATATATGCAAATGATGGATGGGATTTGCCTAAGTAGAGAGTAAAAAAGCTGAATCTGAGCACCTTTTGATATTTGATCATAAAATATCTTACGATTTGAAAGGGGACCCTCCATCTGTGCTCCTGGTAGCCAGGAATTAGGTTGTGCTAAGCTGGGTGTGGTGATCCACGCCGCAGTCTCAGCTTGTAGGAGGCAGAGCAGGCCTGGTTGCTTGAGGACAGCAGGTTTACATAGTGAGACCTTGTCTCAAAACAAATCAACAACACTTCTAAATCTTCAAAATTCAGCACTGGTAGATTTAATCTGCTTTTATTTTTAGGTTTTTGAGACAGGATTTCTCTTTGTATCTCTGGTTGTCCTGGAACTGAATCTGTAGATCAAGGCTGGTCTTGAACTCATAAAGATTCACGTACCTCTGCCTCCTGAGTGTTGGGATTAGGGATGTGTGCACCACCACCTGGCTGCTAGATTTAACTTCTATCAGTGTGGTGGTGGGATGTGCTATTCACGATTATAACTGGAATTTCTCTTATTAATTACAGATCAGATTGGGCATCTTTTCTCAGATTGTTTGGTCATTTGTATTTTCCCATTAATGAAATGCTTGTTCATGTCCTTTGCCCATTTTTATTAGATTGTTCACCTTACTGGTGTATAGGCATGAATTAGATAATATGGGTGCCAGTCATTTGCTAGTGATGGATATAACACATGGGTTAGATGCTGTGGGTACCAGTTGTTTGTTAGTGACAGATATAACACATACCTTCTACTCACTTGGGTTTTGCTTTTCACTCTTTTAAAAATGTTTTTGTGCCTGGCAGTGATGGTGCCCGTCTTTAATCACAGCACGCATGAGGCAGAGGCAGACGGATCCCTGTGAGTTTGAGGCCAGCCTGGTCTAGAGGCTAGAGAGTCACAGTTTCAGGACAGCCAGGGCTACGCAGAGAGACCCTGTCTACAAAAACCAAAACCAAAACCAAACAAAAAAGAGTTTTATTTTAAAACTAATTCCAATTTATAAAAATACCCATTGTCTGTCTGTTTATTTGTGGTGTGTGTGGCAGGGAGAAATGCCAGTGAGGGCGGTGAGTGAGTGTGGGCCAGCTAGGGGTTGATGCTGAGTGTCTTCCTCAGTTGTTCTGGGACTTATTTTCTGAGACAAGGTCTCACTGAACCTGGAGTTCCCCAGCTGGCTCCTGTAGCAGCCACAAAGCTCCAGGGATCTGCTCGTGTCTCTGCCCCCACAGTGCTGGGGTTACAGATGGCCCGTGACTTTTTACATGGGTCCTAGGGAGCTGAACTCAGAACCTCATGCATGGTAAGTGCTTTGCCCAGTGTGGTGTTTTGAGTGAGGCTTCTCATAGGTTCATATATTTGAATACTTGTTCCCCAGTTAGTTTAGTAAAACTGTTTGGATCAGGAGGTATGGCTTGTTGAGGGGGGAAAGCGTGTCATTGGGAACAGGTTTTGAGGTTTCAAAAGCTCATACCATTCCTAGACCCTCTCTCTGTCTCTCTCTCTGTCTCTCTCTCTCTCTCTCTCTCTCCCCCCCCTTGTGCAGAGATCAAGATGTAGCTCTCAGCAACTGTTCCAGCGCCAGGCCTACCTGCCTGCTGCCATGCTTCCCACCACGATGGTCACAAGGTCTAACCCTCTGAAACTGTGAGCCTCAGATAAATGCTTCAGTAAGCTGCTCTGGTCACAGTGCTGGTGCCTTATCGCAGCAAGAGAAATGCAACTAAGACACCCACTGAGCATCCATGTCCCCAGCCACCAAACAGGAACGTTTGATTATGGTGAGACCCAACAGCACAAAATCAGGTGCCTTACAGTGCGCAGTTCATAGACAGTTAGGGCATTTGGAGTATGCAGCCAGCACCTTGGTCTACAACAAACAAACAAACAAACAAACAAAAAGCTCCCTTGTGCAGCAGAGCCTGCACTCTCCAGACTCCTCCCTGGCCACGCTGCAGCTGCACACCAGCCTTTGGTCTCAGCGGTTTTACCTCTAGTTAGTTCATAGAACTTGAACCCTTCAGTGTGTAACTTTTTTTTTTTTTTTTGATATGAGTGCTTTGTCTGCTTATATGCCTGCACACCAGAGAAGGGCACCATATCTCACTGGTGATGGTTGTGAGCCACCATGTGGTGCTGGGAACTGATCTCAGGACCTCTGGAAGAGCAGCCAGTGCTCTTAACCACGGAGCGATCTCTCCAGTGTGTGTGACTTTTCCTAAAAAACCTTCTACAGGATTTCTGTCCATCCACGCTGCTAGAAGCATTTTCCTTAGCACCTCCCTGCTTGGAATATTCTGTTATGTGTATAAGCCACAATTTATGACTCAGCACTGCTAAGGACATTTGGGTGTCTTTGTGTTTGGGGTATTATAAGTTGTGATGCTATGAACACTCTTGCTCAAGAGTTTGAGCACCAGACTGCAGTGCTCTGGGATCTGACAGAGGACTTGCTGGGTGACACGATGGTTGGGTGTTTAACTCTCAGAGGAGGCCTCAGACTCCTTCTCTAGCTGCTCACATTCCTACCAGCAACGTGTGAGCTACCGATGACCCCACTTCTTTTGCCACCGTTTGCTGTTTTCCCTTTTGTTGTTCATATTGTAATCAAAAGTGCCGGTGTATATTAATGTTTGCTTTCCTGGGATACACTGTATGTTGATACTACCCATCTCCTTTCCTTCTGCCTTCTCCCCTCTTTCCATTTGAGGGGTCTTGTGGTTTTTGGTTTGTCTTGTTTTCTGGGACATGGTCTCAAGTAGCTTTTGCTGGTTATATAGCTTAGGATGGCCTTGAACTTCTGATCTTTCTATCTCCACCCGTGAGTGTTGGGATTAAGGATGTGTCCACTGTGCCTGGTTGTGGCTTGACCCTGATTTAGTGTATGCTAGGTAAGCACTCTACACCCCCTCCTTCCCATAGATGCAGATCCTAGTGGTGAGGTCATTTGGTTTGAATCTCCCTTTTGACTAGTGACGTTGAGTGTATTTTCATGGGTTTATTATCGGTTTCAGTACCTTCCTCAGGAGAAATAAAGTCTTTCAAAAATTTGTTGCACACCTTTTTGTTTTGTTTTGTTTGGTTGGTTTTGGTTTTTTGAGACAGGGTTTCTCTGTGTAGCCCTGACTGATTTACAATTTACTGTGTAGAGCAAGCTGGCCTTGAACTCAGGTTGCCTCTGCCTTCCAAGTATTGGGATTAAAGGCTTGTGCCATCACCACCCAACTTCCTTTGCTCATCTTTAAAAGGGGATTTTATTCTTGTGCTTTTTGGAATGTCAGAACTCTTTACATATTGTGTTTTTGTCAGGCTATGACTTTAAGGACTCTCTTTCACCCCACAGTCAGGCATCTCACCTTTTCATTAATCCCACACTGTGAATGTGGAAGTCTTCAGAAATAACGATTCTTGGCTGGATTTCTCCAGGAGTTTCTCCTCTGTGATTCCCGTGACCTCTTAAATCTAGCTGTCTTTTATCAAGTTGGGGCATTTTCAGCCGTTATTTATTTGAATCCTCCTTTCAGGCTCACTCCATCCTTTTGTTTCAGGGATTCTGATAAGATGAGTGTTAGATCTTTTCTGAAGGCTCCCTACGACTCTGAGACCCAGCTAATGTTTCCGGGTCTGTTCTCTCTGTTGTTCCGTGATTTCTCTGTCTTGGAATTCAGTGACTCGTCTAGTGAGGCTTTCTTTTCTTTTTTTTTTCTTTTCTTTTCTTTTCTTTTCTTTTCTTTTCTTTTCTTTTCTTTCCTTTCCTTTCCTTTCCTTTCCTTTCCTTTCCTTTCCTTTCCTTTCCTTTCATTATATTTCTACAATTCACACTTGGCTGTTCCCCATACGTTGTTTCTCTGTGGAGAATCCTTTTCTGTTGTCTCAGACGTGTCCAGAGGAGCCCGTTGTGAAGGCTGCTTTAAACCCCCGGTGAGATAATTGCAGTGTCTGTACCATCTTGGTTCTGGTGTCTATTTAGTCCGTGTTTACTGGTTTCTGGAGTCCAGGCTAGGACATCCGCATTCTCTTGCTGAACCACCTCATCTGCTTGACTCTCAATATCATATAAACCTTCTGCTTGACAGACCTCTCTGACTCTGAGGTGACTGGGCTGCCAGATGTGGGTAAAAGTCAAGATTCATCACTAGGGACATGCACGTGCATGCGTGTGTGTGTGCGTGTGTGTAGAAGGTCCTACAGTTCCAGGCTCTGTTCATGTGACTAATGGGTTGTTCGGCTGCTGTGGAGCAATTATTCTCAGAATGTTGTCTGTCTAACTAGGTTGTCTCTTCAGGGCTTTTCCGAGGGCTCTTTGGGAAGACTGCACAAATTGCCATTTCTAAAGTTACGACTTCTCCAGCACACTGTCCTGAGTACGTGAGGTGAAGAAGTCCACAGA